TGGCACATTTTCCTACGGTCGATAACTTATGTCACACATTGCTATAGCAACCTCATATCTAAGTTAACAGCTCCCTCATGTAAGGCTTGCCTTACGTTAGAGGGGGCTCTAATTGCCCAAGACCGTAGGTTGTTTTTAACCGGTTTCTTAGTATTCGTAACTCGTCCTGATGTAGCAAACCTGCACTTCATAGAAACAGCTCCCCTTGCCAAGCTGCCCTTGTCACGAGGCCTTGATCTGAGATCAACAAGCTACTTCTGTCAAGAGCCCTTTATTTTAGGCTAACGCTGCGAGGGGGGCTCGGGGCCGTTCCTGGAAGCGGGCTGGACGTGGGGCGAGCCAGACAATGGGCTGCGCCTGGGGGGGACATCTGCGCCTGTCCCCGCTGGGTCTGCTCCAGCAGAGCACTCCAGCCCGTGCGTGGTTTGGATCCGGCCGTCGGGGATGAGTTATGTGCTGGGGTCACGCTTGACCCGAGCTGTCCTGGACCGTGGCTGGGACTGGCGCTGGAGGTGCCGGGGGAACCGGGTCCAGTGCGTGGTGCTGGCATGGCTGGCAGGGGCCTGGAGAAAATTGTTTCCGCGGAGGGCAGAATCAGGAGCAGGCCTGGCTGGCCCCTTCCTGCAGAGCGGAGCCCCCCTGGGACCCAGCTACCGCCTCCCGGCCCCCTTTCCTGCACCCCCCAGCCTCAAGACAGGCAGAGGGGAGCTCGGGGGCGAGAGGACCCTGCCCTCAGCTGCATCCTTGTCCATCAAGGCCGGAAACGATAGCCCGTTTGCGAGCAGCAGGCGTGTTGTGATAACTCCCCGAGCCCAGCGCATCCGGTGAGGCAGGAAGGAGCCAGGCAGGAGGAAATATTAAATAGAGCAATATAAACACCCGCCGGGGGGTTGCACCGCCAGCACGCCCCACCCTGCCAGCCAAAGGGCCGGCCCCGCTGCCCGGGGCCGCAGAGGGCCGGCGGCATGGACAAGAGCAGCTACGCCATGGCCAAGCTGGGCCTGGACACCAAGAGCTCGCTGGCGTCCAAGAGGGACTGCAGCTTCTACATGAAGTACTTCTTCCTCTTCGCCTCCCTCATCCAGTTCCTCATCATCCTGGGCCTTGTGCTCTTCATGATCTACGGCAACGCGCACAGCGGCACCGCCACCCACGTGCAGCACCTGGAGCGCCGGGTCCAAGAGCAATTCGCCCGGGTCACCGAGCTGAGCGCCAGGAACCGCAACCTCACGCTGCAGCTCAACGCCACCGCCAAGCAGCGCCAGGCCTGCCTCGACAGCTCGGCGGGCCTGCGGGCCGAGCTCACCAAGTGCAACGCCAGCCTGCTGCCCTGCGCCACCACCAAGGTACGGCCTTGCCCGCTAGAGCTTCACCTCTCCCCCTGGCCCATGCCTCTCTCTGCCCATCCCCAGCCCCTGCAGCTGGACCCAAAGCCCAGGGCTCCTCCGAGAGCAGCCGCCATGTGACCCCACTCCTGCCTGGTCCAGCCAGGGCTCTGCGCTGGATGGGGCAGTGGCCGGAGGCTGGAGACCAGTGATCCCAGCCCCCCCCCGACGGCCCTCCTCCCTGCATCTCCTGCCATGGTTCAAACAGCCCTGGCCTCTCCGGGACAGGACAGGAGGCAAAGGCCGGACTCAGCTGGGCAGTGAGCAATGCACCTTCCCCTCGCAACACATCAGCGTGTGAATCATGCTTCCCCTGGCCCCGGCAAACAAAGCCTGCCTGTACATCCCACCCCACTTCCCCACCCGGAGGGGTGTCTCCAGCTTACATCCCTCGCCTCCGACTGTCTGCTCCTTCCCATTCATCAGCCCCTGGCAGCCAGGAGCCCTGTGGGGGGGACGCGGAGGCCGAGTCAAGCAGGGTGGTTTCAGGAGGGTGCCCTGCATTGACCTATAGCCATGGTGCTCAGAGAGAAGCCCGGGGTTGCTGGCACCGCTGTCCAACGGCTCCATGCACAATGCGTCCAACAGGTCTGGAGCTCCTCATGGCCCCAGTGCGCACGGCCCTGCCCTGGCCCCTTCCCCACCGATCCATCCCCTGCCCTGACCCGCTGCCTTCCCTCCTCTCCGCAGCTCCAGCTCCAGGCCGCCATAAGCACCCCGGGGGCTGGCCACCCGCTATTACCAGGCCCTGGAGATTGCCAACGTCACCTGCTACGGTGAGTGCCCAGCAAGGCAGGGCTGGCGGCTGGCCCCGCGCCCGCCTGCTCCCCCGTGACACGGGCAGCCAGTGACTTCCTGAAGACCCACCCGCGTGCTGGCGTCTGTCTGACGTCAGGGACTCCAGCCTGTCCGGCCTGGCGGGAAGGGTGCAGGGCAGATCTGTGCAAGTCGCTGCTGCCCAGAGAGGGGGTGGTTGGGGCTGGGGGTCCCCACCACCTTCTGGCTGGGCTCCAAGGGGTCCATGCTGCCACGAGGGCAGCTCTAGGGGCACGGCAGGGCGTTGCCCTGGGACCTCGCTCCATCCCAGAACCCATGAGGCAGACCTACCATATCCCAATGGGCTTGGGAAGGGGCTGTGGGGTAGTTGGGGGCAGATGGAGGGCGGCCGGCGGGTCCCAGGGTGTGACGGTGCTGTCCCCACAGCCGAGAAGCTGACCCTGCAGGACCTCCTGGCGCAGCAGGCGCTGCAGCTGCATGCGCAGCGGGACAACTGCTCCCGGGCCACGGTGCAGCTGCAAGAAGAGGCCCAAGCAGCCCAGGAGACGAAGGGCATCTGCCAGAAGGACATGCAGAGACTGCGGCTGCAGCACAGCGAGATACGAGGGCTGCTGGGGCAGGTGGAGGGCAAGTGCGGCAGGCTGGAGGAGGAGGTGCGGGACACCGTGAGCAGCGTGCAGCAGACTCTGAAGGAAGACACCAGCTATGGGATCTTCTCCACCCGAGCCTGCGAGCAGGTGGGCACCCAGCTCCAGCAGGTGCTGAGCAAGGTGGAGCGGGATCTGAAGGCGATACGCGTTGAGAACCAGCAGCTGGGCAGAGACAAGGCCCACTGCACTGAGAGCCTCAGCCAGTGCACGAGGCTGCAGGATGCCGAGCGGGATAGGGCCCGACAGGAGCTGCAGCAGAACCGGGCCCAGTGCAAGACCGAGGAGCAGCGGAGGCTGGAGGAGCGGAAACAGCTGCTGCAGGAGAAGGAGAGCCTCAACCAGCAGCTGCAGGAGTGCCGCAAGCAGCTGGTCCAAAGCAAGGACCTGCGGACCCAGCTAGACAACTGCCTGCGGCTCAAGGTGAGGGGGTGGGAGACATGCACGGGGGTCCATCTGGCACCGCCTGTGCCTCCTCCTAGCTCGGCGGGGGGTGCTTGTGTGCACGCACGTGCACAGGTGTGCCCAAGCACTGGGCACTGGAGCAGCCCCGCCAGGCGCCCACCCGCGCAGCCAGGGCTCTCTGGGACACGTGAGGGGGGTCTCCACGTGCAGGGCACTGCTGCCCCCTGACCCTTTTCCCCTGCAGCCCGTGGCCCCGCCGCAGAGGAACCTCAACCCCTTCGGGAGCACCAGCTCGCTGGGCAACCCCGGGGTCTTCGGGAACCCAGCAACGTCCTTCCGCAGCACGGGGGCCGTGCCGAACTTTGGGAACATGCCCAACCTTGGTGAGTGCCCAGAGGGCTGGGGTGATGCCACGGCCCCCCCACCTGCCTTAGCCCCGCTCCGAGACACCCCATCACCGCCTGCACCCGGCTCTGCCCGTGCCCTGGGGCTAGCCCACCACCCCGCTACCCCAGCACTGGGTGCACCAGCCTTGTCCACACTCTGCTGCATAGATGGCCCTCACCCCCGCAGACACCCCCACGTACATCCCATGTACCTGGGCCTCTCGGCTGTGGGTCCAAGGGGCAGGACCCTCAGCCTTCCCACTGTGACACCAATGCTCTGAGCCGGCCCGGTACTGGGGAAGGGAGGGCTCTTCTCCAGGTGCCCCCAGCAGACTCCAGCCGAGACCCGTGGTGCTTCTTGTCCCTTTAAACACAGCCTTCCTGGAGGAAATAAGGCGGAAGCTGCTGGAGGAGGCCAAGCTGTCAAGCCAGTTACCCAAGAACCCCCCAGCCGTGGGGCAGCCCAGGTAAGGGGCACAGCAGGGCACACGGGGCCTCCTCGGCTGGGCGCTGGGGACCCTCTTGCAGGTGCAGCCCTTGCAAAACAGCCTGCTCCGTTCCAGCAGGGCTTAGGGCTGGCGGGATCGGGATCAGGGTGGGGATCCGGCCCAGGGATGGGGCAGGAGGTGGGCGTGGGAACCCGGTGGGCAGCCCGGCCCCGGGAGGGCAGGGCGAGAGGGAGCTGGCAGGATGCCCCAGGAACCCAGCGGCACCGGGTGCTTCCCCCCACAGCGGCTAAGCGCGGCCAGGCAGGGCCGGGAGCTGGCAGGGCCGGAGGACAGAGCGGAGCCGAGGCGCGGTGGCCACCACCGGGGAGACGCGGCCAGCGCGTGGCCTGGGACCTCGCACCCACAGGGACGCCCGGACGCCCGGCGCATGCACCCGCTCCCACGGCCCAGGGAGCACACGGCCAGGCACTGCCTGCCCCAGCCCCCCCGCTCCACCTTGCTCCCCACAGGGGCTGGGAGTGCCGCCCGGGCACAGCCCCTGCTTCCCACTGAGCACTGCCCGCTCTCACCCCCGCTAGCAACCCCACCAGGCCCCTACTCTGCCCTGCAACCTCTCACCCCCCACACATACGCTCCCCGTGCCTGCAGGGCAGGGGGCACGATGCCTTTCCTGGGTGATGACCCCCGCAACCCGTGTGCCACATGCTGGCCGGTGTCCCCCGCTACCCCCGAGCTCAGCACCAGGGGCTCGGCCCTCCCGCACACGGCTGTACACCTGCACCCTAATACATGCTTTGCAGCAGACTCTCCCAGCACCGTGCCTCCTTACTGCCTGGGCGGGGGGCTGGGGCGGGGGGGCATCCTCTCCCCTGCCTGGGGAACAGGAGGGGCAGGGCACAGGGGAACGACAGAAATGGACCCGGGTTGCGCTGCATGGCCGGAGCCCCCCTGCCACCACCCCGACTTTGCCCGTGGCCTGAGAGCCCATGTGGCAGGAGCAGCAAGATGAGGGGACAAGGGGGGTCAGAGGACTGTACTCACTCGGCCCCTTCTCCCCATGGGAGCACAGGGAGCCCCACAGCCCCGTCCCCCCCATGCAAAGCCAGGTGTCCCGTGCCCCCAGCCAGCGGTCCTTCACCCGCTTAGCCCCCCCGGCAGAGACGACGGGCAGATGCCCGTGAAGCCGGTCAGACCCGCGATGCTGTTCCCAGCAGGCCTCTGGCGGGGACGCGGCGGCCAAGCGGTCAGCACGCAGCTGCCCCGGGATGATGGATTGCTGCCTTCACAAGCTCTTTCCGATGCTGTAAACAGCTCATGACACTGGCCAAGGCGGCCGGGAAGTCCCAAGGGCAGTCCCCGTGCCAGCGCGGGGAGGCCTGCGGTCCTACACGGCCCTGCCAGGCAGGTCCCTACCACCCCCTGGGAGGTAGCCAGCTCTGGGGTGGAACAGCATCACCCTGGCGAGGGATGGGAAAGCACGATGCATCCGGCTGGAGCAGGAGGGGGGAACTGAGGGAGCGGGGCTGGGCCAGGGGTCCGACTCACCCCACACCCAGCCCCACCTGGGCCCACCCCTGGCTGGCACCACATGGCACTGCACGCCCCCGCCCCAGCATGCACACCTCAGAGATGTCCCTAGCACTGCCCAGACACCACGCCAGCTGCTGGGAGTGCCGCAGCCCGCTGGCCCTCCTTCCCAGCAGTGGGCAGCTGGGGCAGGAAGGGGTCCCCGGCACATATTGTTCTGTTTACACCAGGCCCGACGTCATCCTCAAATAACAAAGCTACTGCCGAGAGCTGAAAGCAGCACCGGGCCCCCCTGCCCTCCATGGCACTGCGAAGAGCCCCCAACTCCCCCCACTGCGAGATCCAGCTGGCGGGAGAAGGGAGCGGGCACCAGGGCCCAGCTCCCCTGCAGCCGGGCATCACTCAGAACGGCCCCACGGCTGCTCAGCCTCCACCTTTGCCCTCGATGGACACCTGCAAGGACCGGGCAGCGTAGGAGGGGGCTGGCCCTCACCCGCGCAGGGGGCAGAGGGCCCGCTGTTGGCTGGAGCATATCCTGCAGCGGCGGTAGAAATAGCCCCACAGAAGCCAGGGCTTCCTCCGCCAGAGCCCAAGCAGGGATGTGCTGGGCTGAAATGACCCGCCGGGGCCGCGCTGGCATTTTAAGCAGAGTAGTCAGACACTATGTGGTGGAAACAGCTCCTGGCGACCAGGGTGGCAGGGCATGGGCGCATGGGGCAGGATGCCTTGGGGAGCCCAGACTCCTGGGTCCTATCCCTGGGGTGGGGGTAGTCTCTGGGGGCAGCCCCATTGCAAGGTGCTAGGCTGAATACTTGGGAGGGGCACATGCCCCCCCCCCCGCTGTCTGGAGCCTGCATTGTACCACCACGTGCCATAGACCCCAGGCAGCTAATGGGGATTCTCTCTTGACGGGAAGGGGCTACAACCAGGATGGCAGCACGGGCAGCCCCAGCTCCCTCCTCCCATCTGGGGGCCATGGAGGGAGCGCAGGTCAGGCAAGTGCTTGCACCCCCCCCGGAAGGGCCCTGCTTCCCCAGCGCTGATGGATGGGGGGCAAAGCCGCTGCGGGAAGTGAAGTTCAGGCCAGTCCTTCCCTTCCGACCACTTGAGTGCCTTGTTTATGCTCCTGGCCAGGAAACGCAGCCTCCAGGCAGCACACGGGTTTTTCCACTGCTCGGTGCGGGCCCCGTGACTGCTCACAACACCCCCCGCCCCAGAGCAGGGAGGGCAAAGCCCCCCGGCCACGGCCCTGCTGGCCCCCTCCAAGCCCCATACCCCTAGTGCGCTCACCAGGTGCTGCCCCCCCACCCACGCCAGACAGGTAAGGGGCTGGGACCCCTCTTTCTGCCCAGGAAGCAGCAGCTGGCGCTTCCTGACGGTGCCAAGAGCTGCACAGGCGACTGCTGGCCACGGGTGCAGCTCCCACCACCCCACGGGCCACAATGCTAACGAGTGACCGCAGCCCCAGGCACCAGAGCCAGCCGCTTCCCGACGTGGCTCCGTGTGCACGGCTCAGGGATGTGCCAGGCCTGCCCATTAGCTGCCACGAGGTGACCGTGGGCTGCAGGCCGTGGTTCTCTGCCCCAGGGTGTAAGGAAGCCTGCTCCATGCCACAGGGCAACATAGGAAGCCCACGGGGTGATGGAGGGCTGGGCCAGGTCCCGTGCTGGGCAGGAGGAAGGGAAACAGCCAGAAGCCACGGAAAGGGTCCAGGGTGTTTTAATTAATGCAGCACAGCACAACCTGCCCAGAGAGCCGGGGCAGGGGCTTGGCTCACTGCACCCCTCTGCCCTGCCCACAGGTACCACTCTGGCCCTGTCCTCCTCCACCGATGCCCTCGCCTGCAGCCTCCCAGGCCCCTCTCCTCCACAGCTGAGACCGCAGCGCCTGGAAACGCAGGCAATTGCTCTATTGGCACGGCGACCTGGCACTCCCCACCACGGCGCCTGCCCATGCCCCTCACTTTCCGATGCAGAAGTCCCTGAAGACAATGTCCAGGATGTCCTCGGCCCCGACCTGCCCCGTAATGCGGCCCAGGTGCCGTCGCGCCAGCCGCAGCTCCTCGGCCGCCAGCACCAGGTCCCCGGCCCTGCCCCGGTGGTACCGGCCCAGGGCGTCCAGGCAGCTGGTGAGGTGGAGACGGTGCCGCGTCTGCGTGAGGCTCGGGGAGCCCACCAAGGGGTCACCGCAGCTGGACAGAGGCGAGATAAGAGGGGGTCACAGTCGAGCAGAGGCAATTGCCAGGGCAGGGGGTCACAGCCCCTTTACCCCTGCCAGCACATGGGGATTCCCCTCCCACTCCAGGGGCTGGGGCTTGCCAAGCGCCCCCACCCCCAAAACCCTCCCTCCCCAAGTCCTTCCAACAGCAAGGCCCCTCCCCACTGCTGGCTCTAGCCCCCTGGCCTTCACTGCCAGCCCAATGCCCACTGCCATGGCAAGGCTAGGGGGTCCCAGCTCTCCTGCCCCTGCCCCAATCCCCCCGAGCTCACATGTTCTGCAGCTGCCCGCCCAGCAGGCGCAGGAGTGCGGCGGTGCCCTCCCCGGTCGTGCAGGAAAGCAGGCAGGCGGGGGGCAGGGTGCCCCCTGCACAGGCCTGCCGCAGGGCCCCCCGGCTCTGCTCCGCCAGCAGGTCGGCTTTGTTGAGCACCAGGAGGCAGGGCCTGGGAGGGGGGCTGGGGGGCAGCACGGCCTGCAAGGCTCCGGCAAGGCGCCCGGGTTGCGGGGCCAGCTCCGCTGCATCCAGCACTGCCAGGACCAGGTCTGCCTGCTGCAGTCTGGGAGAGGGAGGGGGGAAAGGGCGTGAGTCTGGCCACAACCCCCTCCCCAAAACCCCCCTACCCCATCCCAGGAGTCCTGCTCCTGGCAGGCTGCAGAGGCAGTGTGCGCTCTTGCTCAATGGCAAACAGGGGATTAAATAGTGCAGGGTTAAATAGTGCAGAGACTTTCCCTGTCCCCTTCCCTGCCCCTTCGGGAGCCCGCGGCTCCCTGGACTCACCGGTCCCTGCCCCAGGACAGAGCAGCGGTGGGGCCGGTGAAGCCCCGTGCCCACCTCACCTGTCCCGCGCCCGGCTCACGCCTTCCTGCTCGACGGGGTCCTGGGCATCCCGCAGCCCGGCCGTGTCACTCAGCACCACGGGGTAGCCACCCACATTCAGCGCCGTCTCCACCACGTCCCTTGTCTGGCCTGGCACCGGCGACACAATGGCTGCAGGCCGCTGGCCTGGACGGGGCGGAGGTGGGCATTAGGGCTGGACCGGAGCCCTGCCAGGGACCGCTGCTGTGACGGGGGCAGCCACAGGGCTCCCGGGCAAGGGGCAGACCCCAGGCACGGCCCCCAGGACCTGCCACTCCCTGGCAGCAGGAGCCAGGGGGTGCCTGCTAGGCCCCGCTCCCCCTTTGAAGGGAAGGACCCTGACCCAAAGGAGAGGCTTGCAGCTGCCCCCACACAGGGGCATGGGGCAGGCACCAGGGCCACAACCCCAGGATAAAGGCTGGGGATGATGGAGGGGCCCCCACGTGCAACCACAGCTCGTTAGAGCTAAGAGCATGAAGCCAGAGCCTGCTGGCTGCAACCAGGGCAATGCCAGGGGCTCGTGCTGCCACCTGGTGGGCACCGGGAGCACTGCTGGGACCAGGAAAGCCGACCAGGCCACGGCCAGCACCGCGGCCCCGTGGTGCAGGGGGTGGCAGGACACTCAAGCAGGGGGTGCCTGGCCTGTGCGGACAGCCCGGGGGCCCGGGAAGGGCTCCACTCACAGAGCAGGTTGAGCAGGCTGCTCTTGCCCGCGTTGGGGGGCCCGGCGATGACGACGTGGACGCCCCCGCGCAGCCGTTCCCCGCGCCGCCCATCCTGCAGGTGCCCCTGTAGCTCCTGATCCAGCTGGGCCACGGCTGTGTCCACTGCGGGGGCAGGAATAGGAGTGAGAAAGACAGCACAGCCCCCATCCCTGACCACGGCCTCAATCCTGCAGCCGGCCCAGGTCAGCATGGGGGTGGGGGCAGGTCCAGCCAGCGCCACCCCCATGAAGGGCCAGCGGGTCCTCAGCCCTCACCTCGAGTCAGCACGTCCTCCTCCACGTTGTCATCCTCGCTGAAGTCAATAAAGGCTTCGATGTAGGCCAGCGCCTGCGGGGCAGGAAGGGTTAACGGGGCTCCCGTGCCCACGTGGGCCCTGCCGGGGCTGGGGCCGGAGGAGCTGGGTCCTGTCTGCTCCCTGAAGCGAACCTCGGCGCAGCCGAGAGAGCAGAGCGTTTGGGGAAACTGAGGCCCAGCATGAGGGGGTGACTCAGCCAAGGCCTCCTGCGCAGGCTGTGGCAGAGGGCAGACCCTGGAGGTGCCCCAGGGGGGCACTGGCTCTTGCCTGGGTGAGCTCCTGACTCCAGCGCTGGTAGAGCTGCCCCAGCTCGCCCTCCATCTGGCGCAGGGCCTGGCGCCGCTGGGCCTCGGTCTCTGCGTGGATCAGGTCACCCAGCCCCTCGGCCTCGGTCAGGTCCAGCTTGCCGTTCTGGAAGGCGCGCTTGGTGAACTCCCCGGGCTCGGCCGGGCGCAGGCCGGGCAGGCGCCCTGGGGAGAGCACACGGGCAGCGCATGGGCACGGTGCCGGGCAGCAGGACGCATCCCGAGCTGGGGGCTCCCCTCCCAGCCCGGCATCGGGTGCAGCCTCGGGGCTGTCCCAGGTTAGTCTTGGGGGCCGAGATGCGGAGACAGGCGGCTGCACGCTCGTGCCAGGCTGGGGCATCCCTGGCAGCGGAGGCAGGAGGGAGCGCCGGGGTCGTACCCAGGGCCTGCAGCACCCCGCTCACCACGGCCGGTCCCCCGTGCACGTGCAGCTCCGCGCAGTCCTCGCCGGTGAAGCTGCGGGGCCCTGCGGAGGAGCATGCGGGGCGTCAGGGCTGCCCCCGCCTTTGCAACCCGGCCCTCCACGGCTCTCCTAGCAGGCACCCCGGCGCAAGTGCCCACGCGGGCACTGGGCACCCCTCTCACCTGGGAACCAGACCACGAGGCCCCGGTCCAGGGGCTCGGCGGAGCCGGGGTCGCGGATCCTCCGCAGGACGACGGCCCTAGGCCGGGGCAGCTCGTCGCGCCCGGTCAGGCGGCGCAGGGCCGTGGCACTGGCGGGGCCGCTGGTGCGGATCACAGCCACACCGCATTTCCCGTGGCCCGAGGACACGGCGAAGACGGTGTCTCTCTGCCGGGCGCAGCCGGAGCGCCGCATCGCCCGCCT